GGGCGCGTTGTGGACGAAGATGTTTGTCCCCTTCTCCAGAGAATTACTTGTACCTCGCCTGTACCTCAGGAGGACTGAGGAGGCACAGGGCTGAAACCCTTCCCTCAGTGCTCAGCCGGCTGTGTCGGTGTGGGGGTACCAAGTGAGGGGAAGTGGCGCTTGTTAGTGCCAAAACCCCGTTACCTGTTGCGGCTGCTTCAGACAGAAAGATGCTTTGTTGTTGTTCGGGATTTCTTTTCCCCCCATAATACCTCGGTGCCACTCTTGGGAAGCGCCACTTAGTTCGTTGCGGAAGTCTGGTGGTGGCCGTTTGCTGACAACAAACAACCCTGCGCGGAGCCTGGCGGGGTATGTAGCTGGGGCACAGGCAAGGTTGGCCATGGACAGCGGGCACGTGTGTGTGCTGCATGGGGCAGCATGTTCCTGGAGTCTGAACGGGGATCTGAATGTTCCGGATGGGTTTTAGGTCAAGGTCACAGTTACGTGCTTCAAGTCCTACTGTGTTAGTGTGAGAATGTTTACTGTGTTTGGGGTTTAGTTTGAGGAGTGGGAGATGGCTACAAGGGTCTGATTACGTCCCTGTTCTGCAGAATTTGACAAATTTTTATTCTGAGAAACACTTGATTCACAGGTAGTGCTTCTTAAAAGTATTAAGGCTGCCTTGACTCACCTGTCCCCAGAGGATCTTTATTTGAATTTTAAGTCTATGGTGGAGTTGCTCTGTGGGCAGCTGTGCCTCTCTGTTCATAGAATCATGGAATAGTGTTGTACAGGACCTTCAGATCATCTAGTTCCAACCTTCCTGCCATTGGCAGGGACACCTCACAGTAGACTGTGTCACCCAAGCCCTGTCCAGCCTGGCCTTTAACACTGCCAGGGGCAGTGTTCAGCAGCCACAGCTTCTCTGGACACCCTGTGCCAGCGCCTCACCACCCTCACAGGGAAGAGCTTCTTCCTTATATCTGATACGAATTTTCCTTGTTTCAGTTTAAACCCATTCCGTTTTGGCCTATCGCTACAGTCCCCGATGACGAGTCCCTCTCCGGCATCCTTGTAGGCCCCCTTCCGATATTGGAAGGCTGCTGTTGAGGTCTCCACGCACCCTTCTCTTCAACAGTCTGTCTCTCGCAGTGACCACATAGATGAAAGTGTAAATCTCTTGCCATATTACTGAATGTATGATGAAGGGTTAATCATCTCCTGTTTTGCTCTTAATAAAACTTTTATTTTCTTTTCCACACTTACATTGAAGCTTCTGTTTTTTCCTGCTGTCCTTTACTTAAAACCTTCACGTTCCTTTGATTTTGCTGCTAGCTGTGTTTGAAGCTTCACAAATGGAATGTGCTTGGTGTATGCTTCTTGCTACCCTGTACTCTGTACAGGATGTTTGATTAAAGGGGTTTGGCTTTTCAGATTGTACTTAAATAGAGAAACATATCAGAAAAATGGTTAGTTGCACATGTTAACTGTGACTACAGTACATAGTTTTTCACCACACGTCACTGGTTTGCAAACAAGTCTTCAGTGCCAGAGTACAGTTACTACCACTGTGTTTACAACGTGTAACTTTTGAGCCAGATGGGTAAAAAGCATGGAAAGGGAAAATTCCTTTATTACAAGGCAATCTGTTAGTGGAGTTTGAGGTACTGCAGGTTTATAGTGGCTCAAGAAATAGCCACGTGAAGTTTAATGTGTACTGTTACGAAAAGCCTGTGGTTTAGAACCTGAATTGTTTGTGGCATTAAGCAAATGTCTCTCGAGGCAGCACCTCTCTAAGGGCCTGCAGTCAAAGGGGCTGATCCTACCTCCACTTGCATGTGTTTTCCATTATTACCTGGTTGTTCAGTGGAAACGAGTTCTTTATAGGCTCTGTGCAGCAGGTAAACAACACAGTGTTTTAATAAACAGTATGTAATTATTATCTTTGTATAATCATTTATTATGTAATCCTTAGTTTATACTTGTACAATTTTTAGGGGTTCAGAGTACCGTTCTCTTTGTAAACCTGGGCATTGTGTAAAGTACTCTATTGTGCATTTGGTATTAGAGAGTTATGTGTGGTATTCAGGACTGAGGAAATCAGCTTAAGCTATTAAGGTAGCTATTGATTTATTGTGTTTTGTTTTTTAATAACTACTGGAGCTCTTTTTCATATTTGAACGTAGCCATGTAGTTCCTGACTCATTCATGTCATGGACCTTCTGTTGATCTAGTTTACACTTCGTTGTAATTTGGAGCCAATTTCATATTTCATTTTTAAGGCTTACACTGTAACAGCTGACTGACAGCTTTCCATTTAATTCAGTGGAGGAAGCAGAGGTTTTAAACATATTTAGGTTGTCCATTTTCATTAAGGAAGAGTCATTCTAGTTAATGTCTCTGCAGAAGTATGTGTTAGTGTGAGATCAAACACTGCGCTGCTGTGTTTCACTTTCTGCAGCTCATAGGTGTGTGTGCTGACCTGTGAGTCAGAGCTCTCGTGCACCAGTGCTGGGGCCTGTCCAGCTGTCAGTTAGAAACCATGGGAAGAAGCGGGCAGTTTGGACAAGCACAGGGTGCAGGAATGGGAGGGAACCAGAGGCTTTGATTGTGAGGTGACATAAGAACCTAAGGGTTGGGGAAGGAGGTGTTGGGTTGCTGACGGAGAGGGGAGAAGGGAAGGAACAAAGCTAGAAATCGGCAGAAGAAAACTAGGTTTTTGTCCATCTGCATGAAAACATAGTTTTGTGAATAGTGGAATTAATGAATTGCAAACACGAGGAACCAGTTAATATTTTCAGAATTCCGGACTTTGAAGCAAATAGTCTCTTATGGATGAGTTAAGAATTTCTATAACTTTTAGAAAACTTACTGGGAGTCATTCTTAAATGTTGAGCTTTAAGTGTATGCTTAATTACTTGGAAATGAGAGAAGAGCTGTGCTTTTGTAGGTCTGTATTGTAAAAACAAAGGTACTTCTTTAAAAGGAGAATGATTGTCAAGTTTGAAAATGTGGCAGTGTTGTTAGGAGGTTGCTTAATGTATGAGTTTGACAGTGTTTGGGGCTCAATAATTTTTATCATTGTTTTAAAATTTTAACCTAAGAATGATCAATTATCAGTTCAGAAATTTTTTTGCATTAGATTTTTACTGTATTACAAGGTAAAGGAATGCAGAGTGTTTCATAAAATCCCCTGTCAGATAATGAACCATTGCAAACTAGAGTATTACAGTGGTGCAGTCCAGTTCTGTCACCTGACTTGCCCTGGTGTAAATAAAGCTAGTGGAAAATTTTGGAATTCAGAGAATATAAAAAAGCAAATATGATCATTAACTTGTATTTAAGGCAGCTTATACCATCCCATAACAACTTCCAAATGCCTTGGAAATGTGGAGTTCTGGATTGTTCGATTGCTGATTTGATAGAAAATGGTTTCCTGACTATTTGGTTTATGGTCTTGGAATTGCTGGTTAAACAAATTTCTGTTAAGAAACTTAACCTGTCACAGTCTCTTCAAATCAAGACTCTCATTTATTGATGCTGTCCTTACATTGAAGAAGAAATGTGCCCTGAACAGTTTGTCATCCCTGCTCTCATCAATAAAGTAAACCAAGACACATTGACATATTTTTTCCAAATACAGTATAAAATAAATGTAAAATACTCTAAAGCAAAGTGTAAGGCAGGGTAATAGTGTCTGTTTATATACACATCACATCACAAAACTTTATGACCAGTGTCTCTTCTTTTATCAGGGTGCTGTTACCCAAAGTACAAGTGTTAAAAGAGGATGAGGCCAGGGAAGAAATCCAAAGAAATCACTCTTCCTGGTAATTTTATGCTCTATAGCAACCAGCAGTAAGAGTGTGAGCTAACATACCCATAAACAGAGTGCATGGAATCACAGTGTGACTTTCTAAAGCTTGTCAAGGGTGATCTTTAGATTTTTATGGTATGTCATGAAACTAACTCAGATAATGAAGTCTTAGTCATTCACATCGATTTCTAAATTTTGTCATTGCATGACCTTTGCTAAGATTAAAAATTAGGGCTTTGGGCACACTTCTTTAAACTCCTGGTGTACAGTCTCAATAACCACTCTTAATTTCTTTCCTGCAGCCGAGCAAAAGATGTAACGATGCCAGCAAAACTTCCAGTGAATTTCTTCTCCGCAAGATCTCCAGTCATTGATCTTTTTCGGGGACAGTTAGACTATGCAGATCACCTTCGTCAGGATTCAGAAATTGTGCTGTACTTCTTCTATGCGCCGTGGTGTGGCCAGTCCATTGCAGCAAGAGAAGAAATAGAACGTGTGGCCAGCAGATTGTCAGACCAGGTAACTCCAGGGATGGTACGAATCTTAAATGACCTTTTTCATCTCCAAGATGATGCTACTTTATGGCATCTTGTGGGAACCAATAGGACTTGAATGCTCATATTTTAGGGTGACTCAGACAGTGGTCTTTATTTTAATTCAACATAGAGTATTAGAATAAGTGGAAGCAACCTGTGTTTCCTTCTCGGTTGTCTGTTATTTCTACTCCTGAATGGGAAACTCTAGAAGTTTCTTCTTGTAAAGTGTTCCCAGATTTACTCACCTGCCTTCAGACATCAGTTGCAAGTTTACTTCCAGTTCCAGGATCCATGGAGACACTGGTAAATCGTCTTAAGATTGCAGCCATAGCACTGCTTTCTAGAGGTTGGTTTCCTGTGAACACTTCACAGACAATGCTTTCATAAACCTCTGCTTGTTGTGCTCCACTCTGCAGAAAAAGTAATGAATATGGATTATGGGTTAGTAAATTTGAATAATTTTGATTAAGAAGCTTAAAAACTAGACAGAAAAATGACCAGAAGGATTTCTGCTGCAAAATGACAAACAAAAATAAAAGTCTTGTATGAGAGTGAAGAGGAGCAGATGGAATACTGAGTTGGAACGACACTGAAAATAGCAGGTGGAATGGATTGGAAAAAATACATGTTGAAGAAGGGCACAGTAATGTACTTTGTTAGCTGTGAATTTTTACCTGCTTTGTAGGTGCTGTTTGTGGCTGTAAATTGCTGGTGGAACCAGGGGAAATGCAGGAAGCAGAAGCATTTCTTTTATTTTCCTGTGATACACTTGTACCATCGGAGGTAAGATTTCTTAAGTCCAGTCTGGGGTTTTTATTGTTGTTTTGGGAAACAGAGATACTGTGTAAAATGTTGCATTTTGAAAATGTTATATTTGTGGCTACAGTAAATAGTAGTAGAGGAGGAGATTCTGGGTGAAGCTCGTTATGCTACCTGGGTGTCAAGAAGGGCTGTAAACGGCAGTTAAATGACATGCTACGCAATTCTTCATCTGAAGGAAATTTTCTTTTGCCTGTGCATCTCCTGGAAGTTCTGCCTTCAATGAAAAGTAAACAATTCAGATTTATAAATTAATTTCAGTTGTCTGCTTGCTCTGTAGATGGATTATATCAACTGGTCCCAGTTTGTGGCAGCAATAAAGTATGTGCTTAAGAACTATTGAAGTCAGCATAATTTAAGTGCATATTTAAGTGGCACTATGTATCAAAGACTTTCTTCTAAATTTGAACTTCACACTCACTTTTTTATGCTCCAGATGTTGAGATACTATTGTATAAAATTTTATGTAATCTCACTTTTATTTCTTTTAGTATTTGTGTGTTTTGTTTTGTTTTTTTTCCTCTGTGGAGCAGAAGGTAAGGAAACAGTTTCTAGTCTTAGGTACAAAAGAGCTGGATGCTGTATAGTTTGTCACTTGCATTTTATTCTTGTACTCTAGTCTTGAACTGCAGCTCTCTTCTATTACAGAGGCTGATTTTGGTTTTTTGAGGGGATTTATGTTTTGAGGAGGAACAATCCTGATCCTTGTCAGCTGAACTTGGAATAGACACAGATGGCACTGGCATAATTTAAACTGTAATAAAACATCCCAGCAACCCCACTTGGATGTACATTGACTTAAACTTACTTGATCTTGAAATAACACCATGATAGATGGATACATTTGGGTATTATCAGTAACCTTAAACAGAGTTGCAACAAGATGAGATGTAAATTCATATTGATACTCCATAAAAACCCCAAAGGGCATTGCACCCCTCATGCCTGAAATACTAAACTTTGAATGTTGCGTGCTGGGCATTATGACATGGTGAAGCAGTGCATGTTGCTCTTAAGACAAACATTGGTAATAAGCCAAGTGTAGGATGTAGAATAATCTAGTGGGATGTAGAACACCATTTCAAAGCATCTGAATATAGTATCTCACTGTGAGTTTGATATTTTTGCAGTGTGTCTGTATGTATAAACTATATTTAAAAATGCATCACATTGCATTCTTCAGTAGGAGTGGCCTAATTCTTCACGCTTTCTGTGTTTGATTTCATTTTGGACTGTGATGCTTTGTACAATCTAATGATAATAGATGCAGGATTTCAAGGGAATGAGGCAGAAGCTCTGGCAATTGTAGCCCTGAGGCCCAGCTGGCCTTCTGTTTTAGCACTACCTAATGTGGTGTGAGCTGTTTTATCGGATGGCTAGGGCAGAAACTAGATTTGTTGAGTCTGTTCATCAGCAGTGTGACTGGATTTGTCCCTGCTTTATTGAGTGCTACTTATAAAAGTCTGTGTAAAAAATTGCACCTTTTCAGATTGATTTTATTAGAACTTTCTAAGATTTAAGGAAGAATCAAGGGAAAACAATCTCATTTTTCAGATCTGTATTTTTAAGTCACATGTATTTACCTCGGACAAAGCAGAAAGGTATCTATATGATTTATACCTGCATTTTACCAGCTTTTGCATTGGGACTGAGAGGTGGTCTCCATCCCTTTGTACCCACCAACACATTGCACCTACCTGTAGACACTGCATTAGAGTCACTGCAATGTCTGCTGTACTTCAAGCCTGGTAACACAACTCCTGTAGCTACAGAAGCCACTGTTGATTAACACAGAGATCAATTCCCTAGAGGCTGAGCATGCTGTCTATGTAACTCCTATCTGCCACCCCCAGGAGGGACTGACTCTATTGTTAATTTAAGTCTTAATGATATATTATTTTTTTTGGTACTAGTTTTGGACCAATTGAATACAAAGGCCCAATGAGTGCTGTTTATATTGAAAAGTTTGTTCGCCGGGTGATGACACCACTACTCTACATCTCGTCTCGATCAAAATTACTAGATTTCCTCTCAAATTATGAGGTACTTGTCTCTCTTCTCTAGCTTTACCACTGTGGTTCAGAAAGAGTTTGACTTGTTTCACAATTAAATTTGATCTGCTCCAAAGTACTAGTTTATTTCCAGGATCCTGAAATCAGTGCCCTGTAAGTTTGTTAAAATCCTAAAAATATGAAATGACAAATTCATAATGTTGGTTCCCTGTATAGTTGTTACTCTTATGATTTAGTGATGCTCTTAATTTACAGTACTTTAGTGTGTAGAGACAACAGTTGAAGTTGTTACCTCACTGAAAAGTGACATGTGAACAAGAAAGAAGGGAGAAATTTTTCCACAATAATCTTGCAGTCTAAGTTGGGAAATTATTTGAGAAATCTGTAACAATCGCTATAATTTTTTAAAGGAATTGTAAACCTTTCTAATAAAATAAGTCTGTTAAGTAAAAACAAATGTGAAATCAGCTGAAATAATGGCTCCTAACCACTCTGTATGCTGTAACTTCATGATTTTAATCCACTGGCACACTGAGTTTTATTAATTTTTGGTCAGTTGTGTTCAGAAGTGCCAAGAGTGGTAGCAATACTAGTGGATTAATAACCTTCAATTAGGCAAAATGTGCTTACAACAGAAACATTTATAATCCCTTTATAACTGTTCATTTCTGTAGTGCACAACTATAATCTTACTAAACCCTAAGCTGCTAGGGCAAAATGGAACACCTGATCAACAGATTGATGCTGTCAGCCGGGTGAGGAGCTTTCCAGTGTTTCAGAATGAAGCAGAGTTCCTCTTTGAATTAGCACTTGTTCTAATGACTGGTTCTGCTGCAGGTTGGAGCATGAGCAGTGCTGTTAAATGAAAGCTGCTACAGTGTAAGGGAATGCACACTGGTTGTGCTCTTTACACTTTAGTTTATCCCTCAGGAGCTATTTGTGGGTTTAGTTTTCCAGTGTTTTAAGTGGGGACTGTGAGTCAGGAATTGTGTGTCTGTCTGATGCTGATGCTTTCTGTGATCACGAACAATTCTATTGTCCTTTTCACTGCTTTGGTTTTGCCATTCTTGTTACTTTTTTGCCTCCTGTAGAGATTTGAAAACAGCCATGCTTGGTTTTTGGTCTGTGTTACATGAATTATTTCTTAGTAGTCTGCAAAAGGTAACTAATAAGCATAGTGTCATTAAGCTTGTATTTGCTTTCCAGCAGGAGGTGCTCTTCTACTGGAAAAATACTAAGTTAAAAGAGAAATTTATGGAGGAAACAGAAAATATTTTTTAAAACACTGCTTAGCAATTGAACAGGTATCTTTGTTGCTATGCTCAAACTTGCCCCCTTCCTGTGCTTCAAATTCTGTGGCTCCAAATGCCCAGTCTTTATGTTCAGCATTTGTTAGGTCTTTTTTCTGAAAGGGACTAAATGGACTAAGCATATAGTCTGATCTTCAAGCTGCCCTGCAATCATTTAAGACTGAGGTTATTTCCCAGACCATGACATTAGGTGCTGAGTGTCTTGCCCCTGTAAAGTTAAGGAAACAGGGCAAGTCCAGGTGAGTGCAGTAGGAAAATGCTGAGGATCAGGAGCTGGGATAGAGAGAATCGTACATGAAGATGCATGGAGAGGGAAACATAGGCACAAAGGAAAAGTTCCTTTTAAACCAGAAATAAACACTTAGTTTCATCATTTTAAACAGTTAGAAATGTGAATGTTTTCTAATATTTCCCATGCAAGTTGAGGAAATTTATAACTTGTAGGTGAATATGTAATCCAGGAGGTGACTCCTGTGTTTAAGAAGTAGAAAGTTTTAGGTTTAGGGTAGGTTACAGGAGGCACGTGTATGGCACAAATTGCTATTTTGAGAGCCTTGGCTAATGTTTTCCTTTGATTTTTGATCCTTTAGATATTAAAAGTGCTGATTTTTAGCAGAAGGGAGAGAAGTCAGTAAAGGATGGATCATTGAGCATTTTGATCACGGCTGCTTGATCAGGCTTTTGTGATTTCTTCATTAAAAAGCTTATTAATTTGAATCTCAATATTTTCTGGGAGGTTTATCATCAGTATCTAATTTTCAGTCCTGTGTTCTGCTAGTGAATGGGTTCTGCAGACTTATGTAAGGGGTATTTACTTTTGACTTAAAAATTTCAGTTGAAAAGAACCTCTTTGTAGCTGATCCCCAGCCTGCACTTAAGCAGTTCTTTAGTGCCAGGTCTGTTCCTTGGCTTTTTCATTCTACTCTAGTATTAAGGTCTCCCATATTAAGGGAGCAGTAGGTCGCACAGCAGTTGTCTGTCACTCACTTTTGGCCCTCATTGTTTTGTTTTTCTGTCTAAGGACTGGTGTGTAATAGTTGGTTTCCAAGCACTGTGTATAATCTGAAATATGCAATAGCTTGGTAAGCTGTAAATAGATGAGTGATTCATTTGCAGGGCATCATGTTGAGCTGAAATTCTCCCTTTTTTTTTTACACTTAAAAGAACTGCTGCACCCTTCTTGTTTCAAGGGCATTTTGTTGCTGCCTGTCAATTTGCTGATAGCGAGGACTTTAAGCCCATAGTTGTCCTTTTCCATCTAATCTGTGAAGCTCTTGGTGCTTTAATCTTGTGTTCAAATTCCAGTAGCCAGCTTCTGACAGTGTCGTGGTTTAAGCCCAGCCGGCAACTTGGAACCACGCAGCCGCTCACTCACTCCCCGCCCTTTTCCTTCCTCCCCCGGCTCCCGGAGGGATGGGGAGGAGAATCGAAGGAATGTAACTCCCACGGGTTGAGATAACAGCTCTCCAGTAACTAAGGTATAATACAAACCACTACTGCTACCAATAATAATGATAAGAGGAATAACAAGGGAAAAGGACACAACCGCTCACCACCCGCCGACTGATACCCAGCCCGACCCGAGCAGCGATCTGGGCCTTCCGGGTAACTCCCCCCAGTTTATATACTGGGCATGACGTGCTGTGGTATGGAATACCCCGTTGGCCAGTTTGGGTCAGGTGTCCTGCCTCTGCTTCCTCCTGGCTTCCCCTCCTCTCTGGCAAAGCATGAGACTGAGAAAGTCCTTGGTCAGAGTAAACATTACTTAGCAACAACTAAAAACATCGGTGTTATCAGCATTGTTCCCAGACTGAAAGTCAAAAACACAGCACTGCACCAGCTACTAAGAAGGAGAAAAAATGACTGCTGTAGCTGAACCCAGGACAGACAGAAAAGGATCTAGCAGAGAAAACAAGGAGCTCTGTCCCCACTCAACTGAATATTGCAATCAATTAAACATGTTATGCCTGAACAACCAGTACCGTAAAGGTACAAAGATAAACATCCAAAATATTTTTGTAATTTGAACCACACCAAGAGATACTGAGATCCAACAGTATTTTATATTATATTCAACTGCTAATTAGCATGGTTTTATTTCGAAGAAATACTAATGGACAGAATCCAGCCAAACATAGCCAAGTGGTGGTTAGTGACATGATGTTTGTTATATCCATTCCTCAACCGAAGCATGACTGTTGGGAGATGCTGTATTGCTCTCACAGGAGGGCGCTCAAACCCCATGAAAAAGATTCCAGTTGAAGACTCTGAAGTAAAGATTCTGCCTTTTTTGATACTATGTAAGGTTGAGGGTTTTTTGTGTGTGTGGTTGCGGAATGATACTAGTGCAAAACTAGAACTGGATAAGAATTAGAATTTAATTTTTGAGAACAAGGAAAAAATTCCCGTTTGGAAAGAAGTGAAAATCTTGGAACATGTAGGAAGACTTTAGTTACGTCAAAAGAAAGATACTCAGTTCCTACCATAACTCAGTCACCTGAAAATACTCATAATCAGACCTCTTTTGTTTTCTTAACTGTGGAGATGTAACAGTTTCATTTTAATCCAATCTGGCATGTCTCATTGCTCATCTGACTAACCCAGCTACTGGAAACGGCCTCGTCTTCCCAAGGCACAGAGGAGGAAAACGTGCATCTCCTCTTGTCTAACTGACAAAGAGTTTCATTCACTTAAATAAATCACGTGTGCCCAGGGCACATGTAATGGCTTTAGGAGAAATGAGGGAGGAGTTGGTCTCTCTGGGAGGTAGCTGCTATGTGTCTTAACATGGTGCCAGCTTTCGTCTTTGCTCTGTTTGTGTAGAAATGCTTCCTGAGCATTAACCAGGTGTGTAGGATCTGACCCAGAAGTGGAATTGACTTAATAGCTTGCTCTTGTTTGGGTACTGTGATGTCTTTGTTAAATGATGGTGTGAGAATTTGCTTTCAGTTCTGGATATGCAGTTAACATCATTAGAAGATGAAGACTTTTACTTGTAAATTTTAATTGTAATATCGATCAATAGCTGCTTCTTTGCATTTATTTCTACATTATAGAATTAGTAGTATGTAATACTGGTTCTTCTATTCCCCAGAGGTAACACATGCCTGTCCTCTTCCTCTTTTCTTTCCTGTATCTGCAGATAAAATAAGGCAGGAATTCCCTGCCTGTACAAGTCTGAGATTGGTTGGAGGGATCTTGTTACCTCATGCAAAATAGCCAAACCATAGAAATAAAGAAGTACAAATTGGCACAGAAGTCACTTAATTGAGTAGTATAAGCATTTATCTAATTGTGAAAGCTAATCAGTAGCTGTGGTGGTTGTTTTTGTGTTCTCCGTTCCCATTACTTTTCATTTATTAGCCTTTACATTTCAGAGGTCTTTCATCACATAGTCATTTAATGCTGTCTTTCTGCAACTCCTCTGAGCCAGCTTCAGTGATTACCAATAACCTTCGAAAATTTTATTCCTCAGCCTTCTCTTCCTTTTCAGAAGTGTTGAACTCTCTGAACATCAGTACGCATCCTGGCTGGCTGACTTTGTGGAAAACCAAGCACTTCTACCTGCACTTTTATAACTTTTCTACTAATCTAGAAAGGGGCTTTCCATATTATTTCTTATCACCTTAGTTTCTTCCACTATGTTTGGTAACTTCTTGTAGGCTTTTGGGGAAATATAGTATGCTGCATCGAGTAAATCAGTCATCTACATGCTTGCTCATTCCGTCAAAGAACTGTGATAGACTTTAGGCATGGTTCACTGATAAAAACATTCCAGTAAAAATTACTCACCTGAAGATCTCTGTTAATTCTTAAAGTTTCTATGAACTTGCTGTTCTTTAATTTTTGAGATTCTTGTCAAGTCTATTAGTTGTGTGATTTAATTGGCATCAGACATCACTGTAGGCTACGCTACAATTAGTGACTTCGTGTTTCCATATATACGTTTTACTAGGAGATGTTCTAATGACTTTTCACTATTGATGTCCTCAGATTTGTTCCAGAACTTTCCTACAAATGCTTGATTTGAGGCAGGTACTGAAAATTTTTCCACTCTAGCAATGCCAGTGCTCCTAACTATCCCTATGTCACATTCCAGTATTTTATTCTCCAACTTGATATAGCAGCAAGTCACGCTGTGTTCAACTGATTATTCCTAGCTGCCTGCATGTAGGTAGTTAACCATAGGTAGTTAACCATAACTCCACACAGATGGTTTCCGAGAAACAGCTGATTGTCAGTAAGAGCTTGCATGTAGATGCCCACAGAAACTGCACACAGATACTGTTGCTGAATAAGCTACTGTTCTGGAGGTTCTTACATGAAAGAAAGTGTGAGTTGCTGCAGTCAGGGTCCTCTTGGCATGCTTGTATTCAAAACCAGGAGCCTCTTATTTGTATCAGTAAATCTCTTTGTTGCTAGCACGTGGAAGCATTCAATTTTGTTAAAACAGAGTTGGTATTAACAAGTGAATCTCTCCACTCTGAGAGAATAGGTAAATCTGCATGATACTTGAGAAGAAATACAGCACTTTAGACACTTTCCTCTTACGTATAATGCAGCCTGTAACAGGAAGGAAATTTTAACTATTCTGGGATGATCATTAAAAGGATGTTAATTAACAGGCATCTAGCAAAAATTAAATTCTAATTCTTATTGAAAAAACATCTTACTCTTCACAGTCTGGAAGTTTTAAGCTACTATTAGTGTACAATGAACTGGCAGTCAGAATCAGAACGTCACCTTTTTTAATAACTTTATAAATATTTCTAGATCTGTGTTTTGGTTTCTTGTCACATTTTACTGTCACTTCTGACTCTCATTCACTATTTGGTTCCGTAAGTTCAATTCACATAGAAATGGTACTCAAAAACCCACTCCTAGGAAATGGGATCATCTTGTCTCTCTCTTAATTTTGGTTAACTTGAATGCTTTAAAAGTTTTTTATAAGGGACAGTTTACTGTCTTAATTTGGTACTAGAAGAAAAAAATGAGCACTGATTACTAACCTGTTTATTGTTTAAAAAAGAAGAACGAGTGCTGCTATTTTGCTGTATTTTTTCCCTTCTGTTTTATTTCCACTTTTATTTCCTTCTTGACAATTTTTATTGCAGAAATTTCACTAATTGCTGGTATTTTGATAATCTCGATAATTTTCTTGGGGTACCTTGTAAGGAATCTTTATGAACAAGGGTCTTGCATTCAGCATTCATGAATGACAGAGAATTCCTGCCTAAAAAGAGCAGGTCATTGCGCATTTGGAATGGGCAATGTTTTTATCTGTGAACATCTTGAGATCACAAATTCATACTGAATTAGCTCAGTTTGCATGGCTGGTTTGAATTACTGAATTCATATCACTAAGTACAGTATTATATGTAAAACTCAACAAAAAAATAAAGCAGCCTCTGAAAAAACAAATCAAAATGCCTATGTAATACATGTGATGATCGGTGAGTCCAGAATCTTCTGTTCCACACCAGTCCCTGCAGTGCTCTTGCTTTGTGTATCAAATGCTCTTTCTGTATGCGTGAGTGGAACAGGGAAACATATAACACAAAACAACCAATTTCCCTCACTTACTATCGTGACAATTTATTAAGCCAATTTGAGTGATGTATTAAAACCCACAGTTGATAATAATGTTAATGGCTTTAAATATTGAAAATATAATCCAAACTTAATTGTAATTTTGGAATAAGAGAAGTCTAAGGACTATACACTTCTCTGTTCCAAGTCAGCTTCTCCCAGATTCTCTTCCTGAATTCAATATGAAGGTATTAAGTCTTCATACCTGGCAAAGTCAGTAGGCCTATTTGGGGATGAGCCTTTTAAATTTCCAATTGTCTGTTTGGCAGTTTGAAGAACTTGTATGGGTGTGTGGGTGTGATATGGGGCTCTTTCATTATTTTTGTGTAGCTGCTCTCTCACTGACTTCTGCAGAATATACTGAAGGAATTTGCAATGACCGATGGGATGGGATGATAAGCTGGTTTAGCAGCTCAAGTATTTGTGCACAAAGCGGTGAATGCATATGTAGTTTCTAATTGTGTGCAACATTGTGAACATGTTTGATACTCCAATTCGAAAGGAAGTTTTTATGATGCTTATGGTTCTTATGTTGGTGCTAGAACTGACTCGGAATAGTTGCAAAGCAAATATTAAGTGTTTTTAGTGACCTTTAATAGCTAACATGGGAAATAATGTGGTTTGAAACTTATCCATCTACATCCGTAAAAACCTTCTTTCATACATAGCTTTTGATGGACAATTTTAGAACTGATTTCCTTTAAGTATTTTAATACTAAAACTTTTCTTGCAGCACGGAGTGACTGTTCTTCCGTAAATATTCTTGTCTTTTAAAAATCTGTTGTGTTTTACTGTAGGCAAATAGTTGCTGTGTCCCATATGTTTACTCTTGAAAATAACTTAACTCACTCTCATTCTTCCTATTTCAGCCTGGCGTTCTGGGATATTTTGAGTTCAATGCTTCACCTCAACCACCTGGTTATTTAACATTCTTCACATCAGCACTGCATTCATTAAAGAAAGGTAAAAGCTTCATTTTCATAATTTAAGGCATCTGCTAATGAGTTACGTATATGGACTTCAGTACTTTTTTGCAGTATTTATAACTTGGGAATTAATCTGTGTTGAGTGTTTCTGGATGCTGATCTAATTATGAGACTGTCTCTTACTACAGTGCAAGTATTGCTTACATGAAAGGCTTATTTATTATGGCATTGGCCATCATGGAATAAAGTATATGACAGGCTGCTATTCCAGGATACATTAAGATACAGTTTCCTCAAAAACCTAAATGTGTAGCTGCAACCTGTATAGGAGCCATAATCAGACTAGCACTTATTTAAATGGAATTCAAGAGTGTTCGTCTGGTGCAACATTTGAAGTGTCACGTTCAGTAGGGTGAACTTGGCTTTGTCAGTACTTAATAACTGAATTCAAGAAAACGCTTTCTTGGATGGAGTTAAAGAGCTGGTACAAGCTAGCCTGAGGAGAAGGGCTTTCTCGCCCTATTATTTTATTAATAATCTAAAATATAAAACATCTTGCATTTAAATATGCACACTTTGTATATGATTAGTACCTATTTTGTGGGTCATGAATTCTGGACAGAGTTTTCATAAAGTTAAGATTAGCACATTTTATGGATGTTCCTGTTAGCAAATGAAGGAAATTCATACCATTAGTCTGAGTTTTACTGTGCCACTAACTTGGTATATGATACAGAGCATGCTCTCCTGTATTTGTTTTCTGTAATTTTCCCATTTATATGTTGGGATAGTGCTTTGCAACATAAAGATGACAAGTATTCTATCCTTGTGGGTACATATTTATAAAAATACTGTGATAAGTATTTAATGCATGTTTACTGTAAATGTACATTGTCTAAAGGATCGGTGTGCATACCTTTTCTTTACATGTATCTCACCTTGGCTTATGAGATGCCATAACATGTAACAAGGTGCATCTGTGATACCAGATTCTATATTTAATAAGGAAGTCAAGAAATCGTGCAGTTCAGGTTAACATTCTCTGTACTTTGCGTGCAGAAGAGGAACACATTCGTTCTTGTTGCCTGCTGTTGTCATCTTCCTCGCTTAATCACCAATATTGGCAGTTGTATTCAGTAAGATTTCAGTGCTTTTACACAGCAATGTCCTGTGTTTTGGTTTGAAGGTGTTTATCTAAGGCTTTCAGGAGAGAGCTTCAGTGTGTATAATTGTATTTAAAACCCAAAAAATTGCCCTTTCAGATTACCTTGGAACAATACGCTTTGGAGTGATCACAGATAAACATGTTGCAGAGGAGATCTCATTGGTGCATTCAGGCAGCGTGTACTTGCACAGACATGTCAACACATCTCTTGTGAGTATTTTATTTATGTTGTAGTGCCTCTGAGCCAGTACATGGAGATTGAAGCTCTGTCATAATGGACCCTGAATAAATGTTTCACAGAGCTTTAGGATACAGGATGTTTTAAGAACAATATTTTTGTACAGTAACACAAATTTTCATTCTGCAAGTCACCAGCTATTTTAAACATCAACCCAAGTTGATGACTTCTATCAAAATATAACCCAAAACCCCCAACCATCTCAGAAATTACTGCACAAAGACTTTTTCCTAGGGTTTCTACCTCTTTAAGTGGGTCAGAAATAGAAGGCTACTTGAACGAGGATATGAACAAAGAGATTTTGTGTCAAGAATAGGAATAGTGAAAACTTGCATTTTGGTTTAAAATATGGCATTACACTGATCAGAAAAATCATGCAAGTTAATTTACTTGAAACTTTATAATAATTCTTGATCCACATGCCTTGGTTTTGGAAGACTAAGACTGAAAATACTAACTCCCAGATTTGCTGCGTGGCATAGAGACCTTATCTATCCACACTGCTACCATGAGTGGAAACTCCACCATTGTAATATGTACTTTATTCATATGAAACCAGGGAAAATATGGATTTCTCGGGTTAAATTACTGGTAAATACATAAAACTACTTTTGCCTGGGCAACTGATTTAAGATAAACTTGCCTTAATTTACTAAAATGACTGTAGAAGCTGTGAGTTCTTTTTATTATGTATGTCTTATCTCCGTATTCAGTAATGAGAAGTAACAGCTTTAAATTCAGTGTTGATGCTGGAGTCTTAAAAGACTAATTAATAATGAGTTAATTTGGTGAAGAAGTAGCGGGAAAAAGTTTTCCAATATGCTGTAAATCAGGATATGTGACAATACCAACTTAGAGACTGAGCTCTTTCATTTATAAAGAAAATTCATTTTGGTGAGAAAAGTAAAGATTAAAAAGATGTAGCAAAAGAAGGAGGAGCTTCCCTGGTAGAATACTTTCTGCCTGAAAGGTTGCATGTGTTACTATGATCTGATGAGCATTTGGAAAGTTTTTCTAAAGGGAAAGGGTGTATGAAATGCTGCAGCTTGCTGAGTAGTATAATTAAATTTAGGGATTTTTAGGCATTGTAGTAACAAGGTGTGTTTGAGAACTGCATTAATTACAAACGAGTGAGGACAAATAATTATTTTCCCCCCTTCAAGATCTATCCAAATGACATCATGAACTATACTGCTGAGAACATTTGCAAGTGGGCTCTAGAAAATCGAGAGATGCTCATACGCTGGCTGAGACCACATGGTGGAAAAAGCCTTCTTCTAAACAATGAGCTGAAGAAAGGACCAGCACTTCTTATATTTATACCTTACAATCCCTTAGCAGAAATTCATCCTCTTTTAGATGAAGTAAGTGAAATGTCTTTTTTTTTTTTAACTTAACAGTAGAATTTGAGAACTCTGGTCAAGGTTCTGAGCTTAATTGTGACAATTTATTTCATTGTTCCAAGGATTCTCTTTTGTTTAAAAACACTTATTCTCAAGCCATATTATCCCAAGTCTAATCTTAGACTGCTTTGCATCCCACGCATCATGCCTTTGTCTCGTGTCAACAGTTGTTTAGAACAAGCACCTAATTCTTTTCCTTGATTTCCTTCTTGGGGCAAGTGCTATGTGAGAGATGCAGATCTCTGGTCTTCTGTTCCAGGTGACATGGCTCAAATGGAAGAGTAAGAATGTATGGAGTATTGTGGGACCTGTGTTTTGTCCACCATTCTATTTCTCCTCCCCTTCCATCTTTCCAGACATGATTTTGCAAGGAAGAATGGACCTTTTTATTAAACCAGACAGTGTTATTTGAAGTATAGCCCAATTGAAAACCTACTCAGAACTAATCTGATCTTTATATTATGTGCATTCCTTAGTTGCCTTCCAATTTTCTCTTCCTCTGCCATTATTTCTATTTCTGAAGTGCCCAAGGCAGGAGTTTGTGTAGCTGTGCAGTAAAGGAGATAGGGAAACTAACTTGGTTAAAAAGTAGATTTTTCCCAGGCTATTTTTCATCTTTAACGCATTGTCCCATTTGGTACATCACAGTGGTCATCACATAGCACTGAGGACAGAGTCGAAGAGGAAAGAAGAATCAGTGGAAAGTGAAAAGTAGGGCTAAGTTTTGATGGCAGTGCTGCCTTACATCATGGCATCTATGTCCTGGAATGTGTGATTTCCACAAGGAGGCCTAATTAGTATTGCAGTGTCTGAAGCAATGAGGAAAGAAAAAGAAAATAACTTACGATACAATATTTAGCCAACATAAGACATAAACGCAGTGAAAGTTAGATTGCTACAAGGTGGGGTTGGAAATCTTTACCTTAAGACTGGAAAAAAACTGTGATTATTCTTGTACCTACCTGTCTTATTTTTAGCAGACTTAATTCAGTGATGCTTCTCACAGATTGAACATTCTAGTAACAGGTACCACTTAACTTAGATCAAATCAGACCAACATAAGATGTTCCATTTTAGATTTCATTCTTCTAAGTAATAGTATTTATCAAAATGAGAAATGAGATACAAAATATGCCAGCTGATCTTGTATAGCTTCATTTTCATAGAGAGATATTATGCAACTTGTTTACCATGGGAAGAGATGGTTACTGCACGTGTCCTGTGGATTTCATCAAGTAGTGAAACCACTTGACTGGAAGGAAGTGGCAAAGCACAAAGCTGTCAAGTTGTATGTTGAAAGCTCTAAGAGCAGATTTTTCTTTTTCTGATAGTAACTCACTGAAATGAGATTTCTTACCGCAGAACTGGCTTTCTGTTCATAATTTCTGTCATGTTCCTCTGTATAGATAGTCCAAATCTTCAGGCTAGATTATGGTATGAGGGGGCAAGTTTCTTCAAAGTTAATTGAGCATTTTCAGGATGAAAACATCTAACAACAAATTCTTAGACTGTAATGAACTTGGTATAAACCACATCTTAATGCTGATGGTCCTGTGACACACACAGCACCTTAGATGTGATGCATCACCATCCCTTTGATAATTATGATTCCTATCAAAGTTCTTGTGTAAGCAGTGTGTGTATATTCTGTAATTTGATTATTTTTAATGTGATAGATTTAAGGGAAGGCAAACTCCCTCTTTCATTTTCCTTTTTTATATATGATGTTACTTAACTCCTAGAAAGAAAATTCCTTCTGTGGTCCACACAAATGCCTTTTTCACTGCTTGTTTCCCCTTGATTAAGAATAAAGTGGTGATGCAGCACAGGAATGTTTGCACTGAGAGGCAGGCTTTTCTCTTTTTTCCTTTTTGGTTTCTTCTTCCAATAAGTCACACATTACTATATGCAAAGGACACCTGCAGTATTACAACTATATGCCCATGGCTGGGAAAATACTAACATTGCTTTAACACTGTCAGTGATTGTTACAAAATTTGTGTACCACCTACAGCAGGAAAAAGCTCCAGTCCCTTTCATATGGGAACGCTTTTATTTTCTTCTTGTATTGGGTAATTCAGGAACCTGTACTGATTAATGCTTCAGGTAGTGGGATTTAGCCTTAAAATGCAGTAGTGTTAGATGTGATACGAAGAGGACCCCAAGATCGTTGTCACTGGACTGAAAAAGTACTTGAAGTGGCTTTTTGTTGTTCTGTACATTTAATTCTTACACGCTGAAATATCTGAAAATTTAACTTTGCTATCAAGTCAGAGCCTCCTGTAATTTCTTGGAAGAATGAAGGAGAAGAGTAGTCAACTTCATGTTTCTGAAATTCTCTCACTGCATGCATGTTGTTAAACCTGCCACAGATAACTGCATTGAACTGTGTACAGTTAATGTTGCTTTTTTTTTTTCCCTCCCCTTTTTTTCTCCCCTACCCTGCAGATTACCAAAGTGGCCTTGGAATACCACAACTGTAATAAAAGCCAGGCAGCTGAGCCAGATCTTCAACACTTAGGAGACACTGATTCACCAGCTTTTGATTCCTCTGTACCAGATGCACATATGAAATTACCAGAAACATTTTCAATAACCAAGTCCCCATGCTGTAACACAGTGGTGCTTCCACAGTGGCATTCAATATCTAGAACTCACAATGTCTGTGAGCTTTGCATTAACCAGACACTCGGTGTCAAACCAAATAAAGTCCATGTGCCACACTGTAACTTTTTTGAGATAGAAGCAGCTTTGGACTCTTTCTACCTCCAGGAGCATACCTTTTTTCAAGTTATATCAAATACCATAGAATGCAGCAATTTTTTAAGTTTCTATAGTCCCTTTAGCTATTACACTGCATGTTGCAGGACAGTAAACAGGCATTTTTTAAGTTTCATTAGTTCTGAGAAGACCATCTTTCAGACCCCAAAAGTAACATTTTCTTCCCATGGGAAGAAAGATGACACCCAACGTTCTATTCCTCACATTGAGGATAGGAATTGGTTTATTCCTGACCTTCATAGTAGTGGCACTAACTTTACTGGTCTGAGCTGCAGGACCAACAAAACCTTGAATCTCTATCTACTGGATTCAAATCTTTTTTGGATATATGCGGAGAGGCTAGGAGCATCGAGATCTACTCATCTTAAGGAATTTGCTGCCATTGTTGATCTGAAAGAAGAAGTGCACTATGTCCTGGATCAAAATCAGTCACTTGTTGGATCTGCCCTGGGTATGGTATCCACTATACAAATGCTTGAAATGAGATAATTAAGTTTGCAAGTAAGCTTATCAATGGAAAACCTAATGCCATTTTGAAAAGTGAGACTACAGTCAACACTGTGAATTGTAATGTATTCTGTTGATTTACGAATTAGTTAATCAAGCAGTAAACTTGTGTCCTAGATGATATAAGAACTAAGTTTCATATACCAAAAGTATATGAAGTTAAAAGTGAACCGCAAAATGTGTGATTCTTGACTGGCTGATGCACTGTAAGAACTGGTAAAATCTAAACTAATTTCCTTGTGGGGAAAAAAAATTGCTAAGTATCTAACAAACTTGGTATTACAGAAGACATTTGTATATTAATGGTGGTGTTGATATTTGCTCACCCATTCTGTGTAATAAAATTCCACAGACGAGTCTCCACTTGTCAGCAGAGACTAACCCTTCCTCTTGTCCTCTGAAACCAACTTAGAAATTGTTTTAAATTTATTTTGCAAAGTATGTGTGTTTTCAAAGTAGAGCTCTGTAGTGGTTCTGGCCAGTTGTCTCAATACTCTAGTTCCTGGTTGAATTGGAGGAAAAAGAAACGCAACAACCAAACCCAAAAAACAAAACTAAAAAAATAACAAACCCAGTTGCAGTTCTGGTTTATTTGCAAGTTATTGACTAAGGCACAACACATCTAACCATGTGCATTTACATATCATGATGATATGCAAAACAGAGTCCACCTGTGGAAAATGCAGGAATTTTTCACGTTAACAGTGTAAGTAAAATGGAAGTAAATTCAGTGAACATAGCATTAAAATAAATTGTTCAAAATGGTGTATCAGGAGAATTCTTACAGCATTAATTACATTTTTCCATAAATAGAACAACCATGTTCTTAAGGATCCCATCCAGCCCCGTATCCTGTCTCCATTCTAGCCCCCTAGAAAAATCATTCTGGAAAACCAAACAAAACCCCAGTGACCATAAAAGGATGCTTAGGAAAAATTAAAATCAGAGTGAGGAGATACATATTTCCTTCCCTTTTTTGCTCCCAGTACTTTCTGTCTCAAACTTTTGTCAGGTCACAGGATTTCCTGAGCATGATGAGAGTTTCTCTGCTGGGTAACTCTCAGTATATTTCTATTCCAAGTCACTTGAACTTGTGGGAAAGCTTTTGCTTCTACACAATCTTGTCAGGGAGCCACTGTGATTTAGTGTTTGGGGTTTGTGTGGGTGGGGTTTATTTTACTTCCTTAAGCCTCTTTGATATCGTAAAATTATAAAACAGGTTTGTATTTAATGCCTTTAACAGAATTTAGTTTTTACAGATGGTTTCTAAAAATTCAGGACGGCATCTTTTAATTACCCCCCTCCTTTCAGTTATTGTTTACTCGTGCATAGATATTCCAAATCAGGAGGTCTAGAAAGGGAAAAAAACAAACCTCTTTTGGTCTGGTGTGAGAATTGAATGAAATGCTGACTCGTAAATATAAGATTAAATGTACTGCTGTTTGCATTTCAGAGGTAAACTGGATGTTCTGGTATTTTGTATGTATGTAAAGTGCCAGTTTTACTTTGGCCTAGGTTTTGGATTGGAAATACCAGCACAAAATGTTTTTGTCTGATTAGGTAATTATTCTTAGCATGTTTGATATTACATTTTTGTCTTGATTATTGAATACTCTTATAGTGCACAGAATAATATTTATATAAATGGAAAAGAAGGATACAGTCACTGTCTTGCAGCAATTTAGAGAACATGGTCCAGGCTCAGAGTAGTGCAGCTGAAGGTAGTTGAGCGCTTTGGGTCTAGCTTTGTTACCACTGGCCAGCTACTTGTTAAATACCTTAAAAGTAAGAAGAAAGCTGAATGAAGAGGAAGGTGGTCACTGGTGACCAAAAGGTGGCTGGTCATATTGGCATGGGAATAGCACAGTATTTAAATGTCAAAAGAAAAAGAAAATTACAGGGAAAGTAATTAAAAATGAAAGAATAAATGCAAATAAATATGGAATTAAGCAGAGCCTTCAGGATAAGGGCCAAATACTTCAATGTTGTATAGAAAGTGAAAAATGGTGAGACGATGCTATTTATGAGTTAGCAGATACATGGTTAGGAGTGTAGACTATTATTATTATAGTACATTGAATAAAAGTAGAAGCAAAATTAGAGAGTAGTGTGGCAAGTGAAAAGACTGTAATGAGCAAAACAAACCAGTAAAATCTTATCTTGTTTTCACATCAGTGAGGTTACTCGGGAGTTGATACCAAACTGTCAAAAATTAATGACATGAAACCAGGTTTGAATTTCTCTTTTCTCTGTAAGTTTTTCTGAATCCAAAGGAAAAACTGCCAAAATCACACATTTATGAAACTGAAATAGCTTTGTTCTGTATCAATTTATTTTCAGAGAACTTCATAAAAAATTTCAGTATTCTCTACAGTCCCTTGAAAAGGCATCTTGTTGATGACTCTTCAGTCCATCTTCGTGACCAGCATGTAATCACTGAAGTGACTACTAACACCTTCCATCAGACAGTGTTTTTGAGTGAAAAGGTAACACCTCATTGCTGATAAAGTTTCTTGCAAATCGTTGCTCAGACGTTTGAGGAGGGGGTCTCATTCTTTTTTGACATTGATACGATAAAATGTTATAACAATTCAGAAAGTATCTTTTTCTTTAAAAAGGCATTTTGCTACTGTGTGATCTTAAGTAAATCTGCAAAAGATCATCTTATGGTGTTAAAATAATCCAAAAGTTAGTGCAGCTGAATCCCTGGCCTTCAACAGGGTTTGCTGGGTTTTGGGGGGCTGCTTGGGCTTTTTGGGGGGAGGGGAGGAGGTGTGGGTTTTTTTCGCTGTATGTTTGAAATATAGATTTTAATTTACTTAAAAAAAAGAAAGTGTCTGCCCTGCTTTTCCCTTTCTTGCACTGTAATAGGAGCACACCTAAATACTTAGGGTTTAAAGTAGTACTGAAGAATACTCTGATTTCTGTGTTTTATACCTCAAAGGAAATAAATACACAACTTTTTTTCTGTATGTTACATTCTTTTGTAAAAGTCAAAAGTTATTGCAAAGGAGACATAATTAAAAAAAAAAAAAAAAAGAAAAAAACCCCAAGGGTTTTAAACCCAAGATGTTATTTGAAAGCACACAGCAAAAATAACCCAAAACTCTCGCAGGTGAAAGCTTTCCAGTTACACACCATGAAATTGCTTTAGATCTCACCCTGAACAGTAATTAAATTACTTTGATTTCTTAACGATGTGATAGTGAGGCTCAATATCCATTATCTGTCAGGTCTGCAGTGAATGTATGCGTCCCTAGTAATTGGTTTCCAGCAGCCCTAACTCGTGCTTTGCTAGTTAGAGGCAAAAAGCAGAAGTCTAGATACCATCTCCCTGCCCTCCCCAGGAAGTATACAGTCACTGTTGGATACATAGGAGTTTAAGACTGCAGGAGAATCCTGGGAAGTGTAGTAAAGTTTGGTGTACTTTTGCTTAAAGGGAACGATGCTAAACTATATCATCTAATCCTCTTCATTTTGTCTTTTTCGCATGGAAATAGAGTTCCCCAAGTTTTTGTCTATTAACACAGTAGGCGGAGACATCAGTAAATATCTTACAGTAAAGTTTATTAAGGTATGGTTTCCTTTCACATTTGAAGGGTTCCAAGTTTTAGATGTTGTGAAGACTAGTGCTCCTTTACTGTGGATTAACTACAATAGATAATCAAACTCTTCCCCATTTCATTTTTCAGAATGTCTTGCTGCTCTATTACGCACAGTGGTGTGGATTCTGTGCTTCTCTTAATCACATCTTTATTCAACTTGCTCGGCTCCTGCCTCCAGATAATTTCATTGTGGCAAGGTAAAAAAGATTCTGTTTTCAACTCTCTGGAATAATACAAGCTGATTGAGGTTATAAGCCTAAAGAATAATTACTTTGTCTCTACAATCTTGCAGTGGTAGATGTGAGTGTCATCTGCTTCATTTCTCTTTGAATGCATTATTTTGTTTCTCTCTGTATAGATTTGGTGGTTTTCAGTCTCATTGTAGTAGTTATCCAGTTAATTAAAATGAATTTTTAAACAGTTTTTAACAATTTTTAAACCTTAAAGCTGCCTAATTTCAGGAAGTAAATAAATAAAACAACAGCAGAAAATAATTTTTACTCCTCTATCTGATTATTTGTAGCAGATAATAATATCCTGTAGTACTGTATTTGAGAAGTTGTTTGAACGAGGAAGAACACATGTTGTTGTGGGTTAATCCTGATGGGCGGCTAAGCACCACACAGCTCACTTCTCTCCCCCCACAGTGGGATGTGGGAAGAGGAATGGAAGAATAAAACCAGTAAAACCTGGAGGTCACGAGACAACAAAACAGATTTGTTTAGGATTGAAGGATAAGGGGAAGGAGAGAGAAGGAAGCAAAACAGGTGATGTAACAGCAGTTACCACTTCCTGTGGGTAGAGCGATGTCCAGATGGTTCCCAAGTGAAAGATGAGTAAATCCCATAAAACTCCCTCTTTTCCCCTTTCCTG